TGCGGAGAAAGGGGAACCCTCCTACACTGCTGGTGGGAATGTAAGCTAGTTCAACCATGTGGAAAGCAATATGGAGATTCCTCAAAAAACTAAAAATAGAAATACCATTTAACCTGGGAATCGCACTCCTTGGAATTTATCCAAAGAATACAACTTCTCAGATTCAAAAAGACATATGCACCCCTATGTTTATTGCAGCACTTTTTACAATAGCCAAGATATGGAAGCAACCTAAGTGTCCATCAGTAGATGAATGGATTAAGAAGAAGAGGCACATATACACAATGGAATACTATTCAGCCATAAGAAAGAAACAAATCCTACGATTTGCAACAACATGGATGGAGCTGGAGGATACTATGCTCAGTGAAATAAGCCAGGCGGACAAAGACAAGTGCCAAATGATTTCCCTCATTTGTGGAGTATAACAATGAAGCAAAACTGAAGGAACAAAATGGCAGTAGACTCAGAGACTCCAAGAATGAACTAGTGGTTACCAAAGCAGAGGGGTGTGGGAGGGTGGCTGAGGAGGGAGGGAGAGGGGGATGAGGGGTATTATGTTTAGTACACATGGTGTGGGGGATCGTGGGGAGAACTGTGCAGCACAGAGAAGGCGCATAGTGAATCTGTGGCATCTTGCTGCACTGATGGACAGTGACTACACTGGGGTATGAGTGGGAACTTGATAACATGGGTAAATGTAGTAACCACATCGTTTTTTCATGTGAAATCTTAATAAGAGTGTATATCAATCATACCTTAATAAAAAAAATTTTTTTTAAAAGGAACTCAGAAAAAATAGATAGACAGGGGACCTTCTTCAACTTGCTAAAGTTCAAATATAGCAACCTTCTAACATTGTACTTGATGGTAAATGCCTGGGTGCTTCCCCCACCCCCACCAGACTAGGAACAAGAGAAGAATGTCTGCTCTCACCACTCATATTCATCATAGTGCTGGAAGTTCTAGTTTGTGCACCAAGGAAAGAAAGGAGACATACAGATTGGAAAAGCAATAAAACTGTCCCTATTTGTAGATGACAGAATTGTCTATGGAGAAATTCCCAGGAATTCGTAGACACACACACACTCCCAAGTTTCACGATACAAATAAAACATAGAAAATCAATTATATTTCTATATACTAGCAATGAACATGTGGATACTGAAATTAAAAATAGAATACCATTTGTAATCACTCAAAAGAAAATGAAATACTTAGGTATAATTCCAGCAAAACAGGATTTTTGTGCTGAAAGCTACACAATGCTGAGGAAAGAAATGAAAGAAGATCTAAATAAAGGAAGAGACATGACGTGTTTATGGATTGGAAGACAACATTAGTAAAGATGTCAGCCCTCCCCAAACTGACACAGACATATAACATTCCTATCAAAACTGCAGCATGATTGTTTTATAGATACGGACAAGATTATTCTAAAATTTATATAGAAAAGAAAAGGAAGTTGCCATTGCTAAGATAATTTTGTTTAAGAAGGAAAAAGAGGGAGGAATCGCTCTTTCAGTGTTAAGGCTACTCTATAAGTACAGTATGTATTACGTATTTGAAAGTTGCCAAGAGCATAGATCTTAGAAGTTCCCATCACAAGAAAAGAAAATTGCTTTTGTAACCACATAAAGGGACAATATTAAGTAGACTTATTATGGTGATCATTTTGCAGTGTATACAAATATCAAATCAGTATGTTGTACATCTAAAACTAATATAATGTTATATGTCAATTTAATAAAAGAAAGCTATTGCTTCTGGAGTATGCAAGGGGAAACTGACTGAAAAGGAGCATTAAAGAACTTACTGGGTGTTGAATATGTTCTGTATCTTGTCTTGGGTTGTGATTACACAGGTGTATTCAACTGTGAAAACTCATTAAATTGAGATCTTTATATTTTATTGTATATTAATCATACCTCAATTTAAAAGCCTATGTGAATAGTGTGTAAAAAAAATCAACTGCATTTCTAGATACCAGCTTTGAACAATTAGAATGTAAAGCCTAAAAAAAGATACCTTTTTAAAATACATTCAATAACTTCTAATACCTAGGAACAGATATGCAAAACATGTGCAACACCTCTACACAGAAAACTAGAAATACTTTTTAAACTGAAGTAAATTAAAGAAGACCTAAATAATGGAAGGATAAGATAATTTGAATAAGAGAAAAGCTGGAAGATTTACACTCCCAGATATTGAGACTCATTTTAAAACTGCACCAATGATGACATTGAAATACTGGTGTCCAGATAGACAAATTAACAAAAAGAATAGAATACAGACTCAGAAATAAACCCACACATTTATCAATACTTGGTTTCTAACAAAGAGGACACTCTAGAGCAATGGTAAAAATGGGAAAGGGGTAATCTTTTCAATAAATTACGCTGGGTCAATTAAATATCCATATGGGAGGCTCCTATCTCACAATATTTAAAAAAATAATAATTCCTGATGTACTGTTAATCTAAATAAATGGAAAATCAATAGAGCTTCTGCAAAGCAACATAAAAGAATAAATTAATACTTTGGGCTTGACAAAGATGTCTGAAATCAAATATAAAAAGCAATACCTTAAAAAAAAAGATTAATGACATTTGGCTGCACTGAAATTGAGAAATTCTGTTCACCAGAAGACAGTATTGAGAGTGAAAAAGCAAACCACAAGAGTAGGTAAATATATCTGTACAACACAGAATGTAAACTAGTTTTATTTAGAATATTTAGACTCTTACAAATCAAAGGAAAGAGACTGCCCAATGGAAAGATGGCTGAGGAATATGAAAAGTTATTTCATAAAAGAGAATATACAATAAATATATAAAAAGATATTCAACTCATTAGTCATTAGGGAAAAGCAAATTAAAACAACAAAGCAAATTACCACTGTAAACAAAATATAATGGCTTGAATTTAAAAGACTGACAATACCAAGTATTCAAAAATATGGGAAGAAAGTCAAATCCCCACCCATTGCTGATGGGAGTGTAAATAGGCTTACCTACTTTGGAAAACTCTTTAGTAATCATCCTACAGATGAACACTCCACTCATAGGTATACATCCAGCATAAAGATATACCAAAAGATATGAAATAGCCCCAAATGGTAAACAACCTAAATATCCATCAATAGAAAAGCCAGAACATTATATAGTCAATGAAATTTTACCCAGAACACATAACAATACAAGGAAGGTCTAGTGCCTCAAAGAACCTGCCTTCAGGAAGGTTCTGACCTAAGCATTAATAATGACTGACTCTAATGCCCCAGTTACATAAGGAAGCCATCATGCACTTCAGATTTTACAGAAAAATACTTGGAGAACTATAGTATGGGTTCGCATCTAAGGAAATACCCTGAGCTTTACAGCTTATCTATAAGTATCTATAAGTGAAAAAAAACTCTTCAGTCTAGAGTGTCTTGACCTCATAACCTAGTTCCTTCAGTTATTATTTTGAAATACGGCAGAGAGAGGAGGCATAGTGGGGAGGTAAGAAGGAGGAGGGTGCAGGCATAGATAGGAGGGCTATGGCGTCTGACACCCTGAGAAAACTACATGAAACTGACCAGTGCTATTCTCCGCGGTATCTCCTAACCTTGTGAGCAGAAGCTCACAGAGTACTCGGTGCAAGGTGAACATGCAGTAGGTACCTAATGAATGAACACTCCTCCAAACAGTGATTTTAAGAGATTGAGTAAATGGCTTAAAGAAGCAGGCTTTGGTTTCTGTTTTCTAACCCAAGGACCATTTATTCAACTTTAGTAAGCAATTAGTATAACAGGCCCCTGACAGGTACACAGCACAAAGCTCCATGCTACAGGCACAAATAATGCAAAACAGAGGAAGCCACCAGCTGAGAATCTGATACAGAATAGAACTCTAAAAAAAAAAAACAGAATTACTTTATTTGTATCTCAAAAGCAAAAAACCTAGTAGTGTCTGTCTACTTTTTGATCCTGTTTCTGGGTATCTTTTTCTTGCATATTCATTACATTTATATTTCATTCTCTTAAGATAAGATATTCTTTCACACTTTTCAACCCTTTTTTCTAATCAGTTATTCCCTCTGAGATTTGCAACTGAAGCAATTCCTCAGCGGGCTCAAGACCTTTTAACCATTTCAGATGCTTATAGCTTCTTTACAGCATCTCTCTGCAAAATTCATGGTCATTAGTTTCTCACCAAAATAAAATGATTTAAACGGAAAAGGAATTAATCATATGGAAGAGAATGCTATTCAAAACATATCTGTCCCAGCATTAAAAGAAAAAAAATGAAATTTCAGCATAAGATATCACTAACTGCGAACATTTTAGAGCTGGACCTAAACGAGTTAATGCTAATTTCATCTCCTCACTTTATTAATGGGTAAATTGATGGCACTTTCTAAAACTTTGAAGGGAAACTGGAAAAGGTTATATTTCTCTACTTTGTGATCTGTAGATTAATAGTTTGCGAATGAATGAATGAATAAATCTGTAAGTGTTCTAAATAAACGTCAGAAAGCTAGTTAGTGGCAGGGCTGATACTAAAACCCAGTTCTCATTTCTTCTTCCCTGGTGCTGTAGTAGCAGTTAGTTAGTTGTCAGGAAAGCAGTAATGTCACCAAAATCACTGACTGACCTTAGCTGTGTTTTTTTTTTCATTCTGCTTTTAGACAATGCAAACAAAATAAAAGAATGAAAAGTGCCAACTGGGATGACAGAAGAAAATTGCACTGCAGCCAGATCACACATAGAAAATGACAGAAAAAAGGTAGGCAGCGATGGCTCTGTGATTTTCTTCTCACTCTCACCTGATCTAAAAGATATAAAAGGTACGAAGATAGAATGCATTAGCTGTCAAATCAACAATATTCCATTAGAGGCACAGACTTCTCTAACAATGCAGCCATTTTATAACCACAGGCTTGACATAGTCCACAACCAGGAGAACAAGAGGTAGAAATGATCAGGAACTCACTAAAAGAGGCAAAATACTCACTCTTCCAGGAAGTGCTGCTGGGGTCCTATAATGGAGCCCGGCCGGCAGATTCTGATCCAAGCAATTATTTCAGCATGTGTAAACCTGTAGTGTTTCATGACATAACAGGCTATCAATGTCCCTGTTCTTCCAAGACCAGCTGTAAGAGAAACAGAACAAGAAATACAAAACATAACAAATCCACCCACAAAAACACTAAGATCAAATCCTCCCCAGAAATTGCAGTGGTTTCAAGTATAATGAATGATGTTTAGCCAGATAATAATGCAGTGCTTCTTATATGATGTGGGGTTAAAAGATAATTTTAACTCAAGAAAAATCTTATAGATCATATGATTAAAATAAACATACATAGGAAAATATAAAACTCAGAGCAAGGGTCTTAAAAACTATCAAGTTCAACCCCAAGGGTCTTTGGGAATGACTGTCATTGTGGATATTCTTAAGGCAATGCTGGTTGCATGACAAGCACTTCCAAAATATCACTTGTCTGGTGTCTCCATACTCCCCATTCTTGGCCCCAGCCCAAGCTGAGATGAACCTAGAGTTAACAGTTTGTGCATGTGACCCGTGAGTCAGTCATATAACTAATTATATTATTGTGATCATTTTCAAACCTATTTAAATGGTTAGGGTTTTTTTTTACCTTATTTTAGAATAAAGAATCATAGGATCAAACTTAGAAGACACCTCAAGCCCTATCAACTACCTAACCACAACTGTTTGAATACCATCTCTATCAAGTGGACATCCTAACCTCTACTTCACTCAATCATAGATCAGGATTTCATGATTTCCTCTGTCAATAGGTCTTAACGGAGCACCTACTACCTGCCAGATACTGCACTCTGACCTGGAGCTACAGTGACAAATAAATCAGACATTGTCCCTGCCCTTGTGAGAACACGCAGCTGACAGAAAGAACCAAGCAAACAAAAAGGCTCAGATTTCATTTCCTGAACACCTGCATTTTTAATAACTCGTGTCAGCATTTTTTTATGTTGAAAATATGTCAGCATATTTTGTTATGTAAGATAAAATAATACAACAAGAAATGATCTTCAATGAAATATTGGTTACTATGATGAGCTCTGATCCAAAGTTTTTTATAAACTGTTTTTTTTTTTCCTTTCTTCAGGGAAAAGTGATAGGACTTTACCAATCTCTCTTTTTTTTTTTAATATACATAGGCTTCCTCCTTTTCCAAAAATATTCAAAACCTTGATCAGGCTATATAGGCTCTCAAAAACAGTGGTGGCTGTTCATATACCACAGCAACTGTGACCCAGAGACACCAACCAAGTGAATCACATTAGTGTAAAAGTGAATATGGAATTCAGGACTAAAATCCCCATGTGTCCTGCCTGATTCTCATCCAAGAATTCCTTCCGCTGTTGGCTCCCCTGTTCAGCCACTCTCTACAGGCACTGACTGAGATCGTCTGTGTGCAAGGTGCTGTGATAGGTGCTGGAGATAAAAATGTGAAAAGTCCTGTCCTCCTGAAGTTTATAGTGCTAAACCTATAATGCTTATTTACAAGTATGTTCTAAATCTTCCATTTCTGGCTTCTTGAAAATTATTCTTCATTTTTTATTTTTATTGAAATGAATTTTTCATATTAATTATACATTTTTATTTATTAAGTGCTACCCATGAACAAGGCACCACACTGAGTTATTTTTCCACTCCTTAAAATCTGTTTCTGTCTTACACACTTTTTCTTATAGAAAGATATAAAGTAGCTCTGTCCTTTTTTAAGCATTAGATTTAACTAGTCAAATGTTTATTCATTGCCTATAAGATACCCAGGACAGGGCTCTACTCATAGGATAGGGATATAAGCAAGTATAGGGTATAATTTTTAACCACAATGGGTTATCAAAGTTGTTGTGACACTTTGTGTAGACACAATATTCACTAAGAAACCAAACAAGAAGATATTAGGTTTAAACTGAAGCTGGGCTCAGAGAGAGCAGAAGGGCTTGTGTGAGCTGCTGGTGTCTTCAAAGAATGTGTCATTTATGACAAGGACTTTAGCAGACTCTAAAGAATAGGAAAGTCACAGAACATTTCCAGCAAAGGATCCGATAAGCAAAAGCCGGGCTGGTCTAAAGAATGTGTCCTTGTGTGTCAAGTGGAAAAGAAGGTCAGACTCGGAAATGGAGGGTTCAGATTGAAGAGCGCCTCTGAGTCAAGTGGAGGAGCCTGTACTTAGGTGAAGGGGGTTACCAGTCATGGACCAGAGACACTGAGGGTGGCTGAGTTATTGTCAGGAGCCCCCAGGGCCAGATCCGTGGTACTCAGAGCACTGATTGTCACATCTCCTGCATACATGTTTTATTACTCTTCAAATGTATGTGGATGATGATTAGAAGAACAAAATTCAACTCATTTAAAAAGTATATGAAATTTATGACATTATCAACAGGTAACAAACATAAAACTGCTATCGTGTAAAAATCTGTATTTGTTCTTTACCCAATGCTTCAAAAGTGCAAAATAAAACTGCCGTATATTTTGCGGACAAGAAAGTGGCAGGCAAAAAGCACACGGATCTAGCAGCAGCATAGCAGCTGGCCTAGAAAGGACAGAGCGAGGAGCCAGAGAGAGCTGCCGGAAGGCTGGGGCGGGCGAGCAGGGCCGGCTGAGAGGCACACAGCCTAGGGTGGGGCGGTCATAAAAGGGAAGAGCTGCATTAGGGCATTTGGACTGTGTCACAGGGAAAGTTGACATACCACTGGCCTGGAAAACTAGTACAATGTCAATCTCATCCATGAAAATAGTTAGTTAGAAAAGGAAATAGGGGAAAGTTGACAGCTTCGTTTTGTTATATTTAAGACTCTTTCCCCAGAAGGAAGGGTCCTTTTGTCAGCCTTCTCTAGTCAAATAATAAAGAGTACCTTCTCTAATCTCCCCCATAATTCAAAATGCACAGTATCTCAGCAAATCTAAGAAACCATCACATCTTCTAACAGTGTAATATACACCATTATTTAAGTTCCACTAAGAAAAAATTAAACTATCTCATCTTATCAACTTTAAGATCATCCTAGATTCATAAATGTGAAAATGTGAAAAAACTGTCTCTAATTCACTGTTCCCAGCCTTATTCTCTTATTGCCCCCTCAAGAGCCTCTTTAGATATTTTTTCTAATCATCCCCCATGATATTTTACTGCCACAGATATACTGCGTATCAGCTTATGTGCTATATGTAAATCTGTGCTTTACATAGAAAAAGAATGCTTTTTACACCCAAAAACGATTTTCCCTCTTGGGGACAATATTGCCCAGTTGAAAATGCATATCAAAAATGCAAGTGAAATTACAATCAAGCTCATGTTTATAAGTATCTGACACCCCCTTCTCATTAACTTTTCCTTTCTAAAAATTGTATTTACATATTTACACCATTTCATTAGATGAAGGGTGTGTGTACACATGGCCTGTTTTCATCTGAAGTATCTTTTGCCCTACATCAAACATCAACATTCTTTAGAAAAGAGGGAAGTTTAGTTATGGTTTCAGCGGGACTCTTCCTTTAGTATTAGAGCTAAGAGTGATTTCCCTTTCTGCTTCTGCTAAATTGTTAATTCCCTAGACATCTGACAAGACTACAGGTAATCATGTTGACAGAACACAGCTGGACAGCCTGGAGCAGGAACCAGGGCCCATTTGGTTTCCAATCTCCCTCCTTCAAGTGGCCAGTTTGGGTCTCTGTCTGGAGAGAAGATGGCTTTATGGAGACAACACTACCTCTCACTTCCCCCTCCTGTGCAAGGGGCTGTCTTCTTCCCTCAGTTGAGCTCCTAGTCGCATACACACTACCAAAAAAAGGTGGTACAGAAAATTTTCAAATTTCTCTGAAACTACAGTTGCTACCCCCTTTTAAAAAGAGTCTATAATTTAGATCTATAAAAAGAACATACTTAGCACTCAATAGTTAGGAGCTCTTGCCACAATTCAACAGAATAGGAACATTTCACTAAGTTTCTATTAAAACTTTAACAAATTTTTTAAAGCATTCATAATTAAAGGGCTCCCTGGCACAGCAAGACAAGACGTTGAAAAGTATTCTATTTATACCAAGTTAAAAGCTGCTTGCCTTACAATCCCAGGCATTTTCTGAAATCAACAATCACATACCAGAACATTACAATGTTGCCATTCTTTTAATTATTATTTGTGTTAGGACATTTTAAGAATTTATAGCCACACTTTTTATCAAACACAAGGAAAGAACTGTAGATACTGAATCATTGTAAGATTTCCCACATTCCCAGCAAATTAATTTCCAGTTTGTCTCCATATATAGCATTCTGTGCTGAGGCATGACATATTCATTCTATTCCCAGCAGCTATCAAAGTTCACTTGACATTGGATAAGATTCTCTCTCCCTCCTCTCTACAGTTCAATTAAAATGATCAGTGCTACTTGAATTCCCAGAAAATTAAGCTGACTTAATTAGGGCAGATGTCACAATAATTAACAAGACTATAGTAGATAAGTATGCTATTAAAAGCAATACAGCTGTAATTAAACTGAAGGTATAATCCTTATGAAAGCATCCTACATGTGTGTACAAGTGGAAGCAAATGAAATAACACTCTCAAAGAGATGTCACCATATGTGAATATGACTTTTGTATACAAGAACTGACCTCAATAGTAAAGGTTCTGATTCTGAATAAAAATATAAAACTGTAGTATTATGTGTATGCATATTTTATGAAATTTTAAGAAATATATTTCTTAAAATGCCAACATTCACGGGTCACAAACATAACACAGAGAATACCTGAAACATGAATGCTTAATACCAGAGGGCTTTATTTGCACAATGTTTGTTAGGTGAGGAATGCTATCAAGAGAGACAATGAGTTTTGCCAGCATCTAACCTCACCCATCAGGACACCCACAGTTGGTGCAGCCAGGTTCCTCAGCCCCCTGTGCAGAGGCCAGCCCCACCCACCAGTGCACCCACAGCAATCACAGCCCAGTCATAGCAGGCAGGCACATGCAGCCCACACGAGGCAGCCCCTGGAATGTCTGGTTCTGGTGACCAAGGGAGATCGCATATGGGCCCCACAGGATGCCTTCTACATAAGGCCACTACCTCCAAGACTAGGAGATATAGTAT